TACCAAGTCCAACATTCACTCTCCTGGTTTGGTCTCCTGAGAACAATATCAGGCTTTTTAGCAGCCAGCTAGTTGGGAACTTTGTCTTATATTCATTAAGGGCAGCTTTTAAGTTAATAAGACTTCCACCTCAATGTCTTGGTTAAGAGTCTATTAACTATATGAACAGCCAAATAGTTTAACAATGTTTTCTTTACACAACAATAAAACACTAAAATTGTAACGATCCATCCATCTAGTGGCAATATGTGCTTTTCTTAAAATAAAAACAAACTCATGAACTATTTTAACTAACCCATTTTTTAAGCGATACCGTTTTGTGAATGTGGTTTCAGGCTTCAGTCAGTACATAAAAACTAACCTGAAGGTATGGCAGGACCGGTCCGCTCTATTGCCTCTAATTGAATGCAAAGCTAATTAGGACTCTACTCTTTGAGTCGAGAACACATCCTTTTTCCCGGTTCCCTCTGTGTGCCTCGTTATATGAGACTCTGAATAATGACCAACATATACATTAACCACTGCTATAATTGTGGTGGAATTAATTATTCTGAAAATAACTCTCTTTGAAATGAGAGGAGGAAGGGGGGAAAAAAAAGAGTGTGTGAGAGTAAAAGGTCTTGAAGCGAGAGTGCACATGTGTTTGTGTGTGTGAGAGGGTGTGTGTTGGTAATGAGAGCTCAGTGCTGCTGCTAACTTGCTCTAAATAAATCTATGATTAGCATTTTCCCTTTAAAAGGAATAATTTCAACTTTGATATCCGTAATTGTGCTTAAGGGCTTCTGCGCTCCTCCGCTAGCCCTCAAACGTTTCGTTCTTCAGCCCATGCAGAGACTATCATAGCAGCGTTTTATTCACTTAACACTTCATTCAGAACCTGTAATAATGAGCCTCGCTGAATACTATTTTCAAAAACCATTACAACACCCCAAGAGAAGTTTATTTCAGGTATGTATAGTGTTGAAGTCAGCCCGCTGTAGAGGACACACAGCCGAGCAGACGATGGAGGCTCGGTCCTTTCTCTGCACACACACATGCATAGAATAATACCAAGAGGTGCACACACACACTCACTGGAACACACTGGCAGTGACACTGAGGGGCTTGTTATTTGCATGTGGCAGTGGCTAACCAATAGAGGGTGGTGTTGCATTGCGGGTCTGAGCACAGAGGGTCATCATTTTCAACTGGGAGCGAGCGCGGAGCTCATCACATCAACACCTGCCTTTCTAATCTGCTTTTCATTACTGATGACTGGATACAAAAAAGACAATCACCCCTTTAATGTATGATGCTGACATTAAGACTTGATGGTTGCTGTTAAAGAGGACTTGTCAGACGCTCATTGATAAACACGGGTGTTTTACATGGGAGGGAGCTGGTGTGTCTTTCTTTGGCTTTTCTCCATCTTAAAAAAACAGCTAAATAGTGCAGGGTTTGCATTTCATTCTGTTTTAAACATACTTTGACTTTGAAAGCACCTTTTCTTCATTTACACTCTCACCACCAGGCCCATTTTAAAGCTGTTCTGGAGCTTTTGTCCGTATCGCATGATCTCCATCATCTGCAAAATTATGTTTTAACAGTGAACTTAGGATAGAGAAGTCTTTAAAGTGCTCATTGGAAAAAAAATTAACACCGATCATTTCACAACAACTGGGTAATCTGATGATGAAGATCATGTGATATGATTTAAAACTCTGGAACACCAACTAAATTAGCCTTGAACCTCAGGTTATATTCTTCCTGATTTACCAACAAAGAAAATCCCTAAGTTAAACTTCCACCTACCAACTTCATTTTCCAGAGATTTCAGCTGCATTCAGCTGCATGCCATGGTCTTCATCATCTTATGGCATTTGTTTAACTTCTGCAAATAAAAGTTGCTCTATAATACTGATATTTATCGAATGCATCCTTCCCCAGAATACTAGATTCTGATTGGCTGACAACAGTCCTAAAAGATGTTGATCTGCTTCATCAGTAGACTCAATTTGGCATTCCTATCACAGCATCTCCTTAAAGCAGTGAACTTACTGTGCAGATTTGTTTCTCTCCACATCCTGCCACATCTCCCAGCATGCATCTGAACACATAAACATAAATATTAGCAGTTTAGTGGTGAACAGTTGTTGGGAAAGTGATCTTAAAACTCTAAAGGACACCTCCACGTCCCTCTAATTAAAACTTAACCGCCCAGCCGAGGCAATGGGCGATAGGAGGAGGAGGGGGGGGAAAGGCTTATTTAGCATTAACATAAAAACAAACAGCCGCATATATATATGCAAATGAAGGAAGGGCAAAAGCAGGATGCCGGGAGCCATCCGCCATAACTCACACTGATGGCCTTTAAGTGAGAAATCGCCTTTAAAAAATCTCCAATAAGAAAGTGGGAATGATGCACCTGTCGCCCATCTGACTAATGAGCCAATCAGGTTGCAAGGACAAGGAGCACATCCGGGTAGTGATGTTGGCCTGGAGTGTCACTTTGCACAGAATGCATGCCTGATTCCACAATAGTGAGGATTTAGGAGCCTGCGATGATCCAGAAAGGCAACATTACATTTTATAACATTAAAGCTGCAGTAGGAAATGATTTACTACTTGTTGTGATGTTTGCGAGCCTCAACCTGATAACAGTGGAAAATATGTGTGTTTTGAGGCATCCCGGATGTTTGCGTGTGTGGATTGAATATGAGCGACAATGAAGTCAGCTTCTTCTTCTTCTTCTACCCCTCCGTCCGTCCACTGAGCCACTCGAAGCAGCTTTAATCCTATATCTTCATGGAAAAACAAAACAAAAAAAGCCCCACTGGCACTGAGTCGCGCCTTAAAAATGACAATGATTTACATTTCAACATAATGCTCTCTGTCGGCTGTTATTGTGACTAAGTGCTGCATGTATCCCTCCCAAATGAAAGTGGGTGTTCTGTTATGCACGCGACAAAGACATTTGGACGAACCTGCCATCCTCTCCTTTTACTTGTAAATAAGCATGGGAAATCTATTTATGTCCTCCTACAGTATACTGGTGAAATAAGGAGAGGCTTTTGGCTTATTGGGAGACAGCCCGAGCATCCGAGATGAGCCCCCGTGAAGATACAGAAAAAGAGAAAGAAAGAAAGAAGACGGACGGAGGAGAGAGAAGCGGCAGAACTCGAGGCGATGCAGGAAAAGTAGGGAGAAGTCCAAACACAAAGCCGGGTGGATGAGGGATGGGGAAAGACGTTCTCACCAGATGATCTGCCGCTCTGACAACACCTGGCCCACAAACAAACTAGAGGCTTGTCTAGATGCGAGGTAGGGAGGGATAAAAGAAACCCTGAGGCCTGCACCCCCCTCTTTTTTCTGCGAGCCACAGGGTTGAGGATAGAGACGGAGCGACGAAGTAGAGACGCAGACATGCAGATGAAGAAGAAGAAAAAATCAGAAGGAGTGTTTTTGGAATGTGATAGCAGCTAATCCAGCTCAGATGCGGCACTGTAGGGATGAAGGGGTTGGCAGCTGTAGTTTCTAGTCAAGGCTGACTGGCCACTAGTGCAAACCTCTGCTTTAAAAAAACACTGATGTTCCTCTAATCTAATCTGAGCTAGGTGGGGTTTCATCACACATATGCCACCGCTCAGCTGCCGCAAAGACATTCACTCTCACCCACTTTGCACGCTCATGCATGTTCTCCAAGTCACCAAATTTTACTTTTGCTTTTGAATCTCCTTCCCCTCTTCCACAGGGACTTGTGAGGATGAAAATCTGATGCCCCCCCCCCCCCCCCCCTCCCTCTGCACCTACCTCTCTTTCAAACAGTGCTGCTGCAAAGGCAGTGGGCTGCCAGCATGCAGAGATGCTGCTTTCTGCCACCAAACACACACACACACTTACTGTACAAGCACGCACACACGCTCCCAACCAGGACACCATAGCCCTTCATGTGGTGGTGTTGATGGAGATGCGCAGCACAGTTTTCTCATGTGTTCTGTTCTCATTTTAACTGTATTTTAAAATTCCCCTTGATCACTAGGATGTCAAATCTTCCTAACTGGATATCACTGTTCACCTTAAACCCTTCCAATTTTCATCTTCCACTTGAGCTAAATTCAGTTCGGCACTCATAGGGTCACCATGTGGCCGCAAACCCGCCCTATTAAAAACACAAAACGCACACAACATCCTTTCCTTGATTGCCTAACTTGATTCTTAATTCTCTCATATTCATATCAGTCGCTAATTAATACGATGAAACAATTCAGATACACTGACGTATATTCAGAAGCTACACGGTCCACACACGCGCACACACACACACACACACACGCTAATATTAAATGATTTGAATGTGGAGGAATAAGAGTGAAATGCGAGTGTGAAGCATCCAGCTGTGCGCGTTACTAGGCCAGGACGACGCGTCAGTGTGAATCTGTACAAATAAAAATACAAATAAAAATACAGCCGGCTGTATGTATCAGTTGGTCAGTCAAAATCACAAAACAATATGTGACTATGTCAATTTGTGCACATTTAAAAAGTCATTTAAATGAATTATTAAGAAGTGTAGTGTACTCACAGGCCTTTATTGTTGTAACGGCGTCTGCACGCGCACGTGTAAACTGGTTTAAAAGGGGTCAACTGTCAGCAAATGTTGAGTAAAAACAATATTAAATAATTAGATATTATTTAGGCATCCAGCAAAGGGGGAAGTGCGTAACAAACGGCACAAAGAACCTGCACGCATTTTAAATATGAATGCAGGCTGGTGCAAAGTGTCCAGCATCCTGTGGACGAGATACGGAAGCCCTCAGGTCACAATTTAACAGAAATAAATCCCATTCCAATAGTGATGGGACACCGGCTGAGATGACTTGAGCGACTTTGACCACCTCTGCCGTGCGCGCCGCACGCCCGAGTGTGTGAGAGTGGTGTGTGTGTGTGTGTGTGTGTGTGTGTGTGTGTGTGTGTGTGTCAGTGTGTGTGAAAGCCACCACTAGTCGCCCCCAGTGCTCTTCAGTCTCCACTCTCCCTTCTCACCGCAGACTGAACGTCACGTCCGCACTTGAACTTGAGTTTTCTCCCATTGTAGAAGCCAGAGAGCCGCACAGAGCCGCACACAGCCGCACACAGCCCGGGGATGCGGGACTCTGCAGCTAGCACAAAGAGAATAGAGGGTGGCAGTCTGTCCTCACACCAGCACTGGGCTTCGACTTAAAGAGTTAAAGTCTAACCCGCCCGCCTGGCTGGCACTGCCAGTGCAGCAGAAGAAGTGCCCACCACTTGGCGACACCTCGAGAAGTGCCGAGAAGAAAATTTGGATTCCTATTTTACACACTTTCAGACCTTAATTGGCGTCCTTTCACCTGCTTTGTCCGGACAGGGACGCGCGGTGTCCAGGGTGGCCGGAGAATGGACACAGGTAGTGACTGACCATCAGGAGGTGACCGCCAACCTCCCGCGTCTTGCCGCGTCTCTCCTCCCCTCCACTCCGCTCCTTTCTCCGGTGTCCTCTGACAGATGGTGTAAAAGCGGCGTAAGGCAGAGCCGGACTACCCCCCTGCTTCACCACCACTTCGACTGAAGAAGGAAGGCGCGCAACCACTTTGGCACCGAACTCCGACCGAGCGCCCGGCCACCCAGCGCTGCGCTACGGCCGGTCACCGCAGAGCGCAGGAGCCGCTGCCCGCTGGAGGGAGATCCGTCGCGCAGGGGTCAGTTCGAGGGCCACATTTGGGGCCAGTGCTGAGCGGTCAGTTTGGGGTGGTCAGCGAGCGGCCGGTTTTGGGGCCAGTTTGCGGCCGGTATACAGGAGAAGCAGGAGGAGGAGGAGAGCCGACCCTTCCAGCGCCGCTCTCCGGGCGATGCCAGTGTAAATGCCAGGGCGATGTCCCGACGCAAGCAGGGGAACCCGCAGCACCTGTCCCAGAGAGAAATTACACGTAAGTATACCTGCAAAAAGTCACATCATCACAGCATAGGATTATCTTCTCTTTTCCCCTCTCCGCTGTCATTCTGAGAAGTTGAGAGGATTTTGTTTCCTGGATGATCGGTGCGTAAAAATGAAAAAAAAAAAAAAAAACATTTTCAGACTTGCAGCAGAAAGTTTGTCGAGGTGCCTCCTGAAGGCCAATATTTTCCTTTCTTTCTTTTTACTGATAACATTAGATAAAGGGCCTTATTTATGTATCTGATTATTACGATCTATAAATAGCCCGCTATTATTAGACCAAATGTACACACCGAGCAGAGAGAGTGGAAAAGTCTTTGGCTGCGAGTCTGACTTTCCTCACGGAGAAGTCGGAGATCCGTCCTGGTAGTTTATTGAGACATGACTTCGTTATTATTCCGCTTTTTGTTTTACTGAAATGAGAACCAGCGCTGTTATTAGAGAGACAATTACACTCAATTTACAAAGGACAATAAAAGCACAATTGCAATTCCATCAATTAAAATCAGTTATTACTTTTTTACACACTTTTAGACGCAGATTTTATTCCTTCCCGATGAACATATTAAACACCAGCAGGTATATTCATTTTAAATGAACGCACGCAAAAATAATAAGTCACTTATGAATTTAATTCGAGCACAATTCTTTTCACCGTTCACTTCAAGAAAAGGGCCGATAGGCTACTTTATTTTAACACAACTATTGACCTTATTATTATTTTACCAGCTGCCGTTAAAAAATGATGATACAAGAAATCGAGCAGATGATTTTCTTCTGTCCGCTCTTTGAAGCAGCCACGGAGCGCCTCAGGTTTAACACGCAGTTTATTTTCTTTTTCTGCAGCTTATTGAATCTTATAACAGGCACGTTACTGCCTCGTGCCAGCCTCTCTGTATTCGCTTTAATTAGTTCGTACCGTTCACCATGCTGCCTATACTTCCCCCGGTTGTAATATTAATAATAGGTTTGGATTATTTAATACCCTGCACGCTTTGACAGCGAAAATTTCCAGTTTGCCCCCACGGCACTTTTATGCAGAGTAGCCTGTAGTAAGTGAGGCATTTAAGGGCAAAATATAAAACATGAAGTATTTGTGTGTGATTAATGCGAATATGGAAAGGACAAAGAAATGTGAGATTTTTGAAAGAGAAAGTAAACTTGACACAACGTCGAAGCAAATTAAGACACATGTTTGAAAGAGGAAACACATTGCTCTGCCTTCTTATTTAATGCAAACAATTTTCACTTTTGGCGCTAACTTCTCAGCAGTGAGATGATTTTTTTTTTTCTGGCCTCCTGACAGGAGCAGCAGACTTTCATGCAGGGCTGTAACTACTGGAGGCACAAAATCTCAGTAAGGGGCACTCCGTGGTGAGAAGGATCCACCATGTAAAAAACTGCTTTTGCAATTTTGCTAAAAGCAGCTGATTTACAGATGAGTGAGTGTGAATCACAAAGGAGGGAGTGTAGACACTGCTCCTATCAAGATGTTACATTGGGTGAATATTACCACTGTCTTTCCTGCAGCTTCAGATTATTTGTGGAGACTTGTGAGATTAGGTCACTTACACTACAGAGTATCAGTGTGCACCTGAGTGGCTTGCTGTGTATGAGGTTACACCATATTTACAGCAGAGACTCAGCTCGCATGTACGCTGAGCGTCTGTGCACAGGTACTGGGCCACACTGCCTGGCTTTCTTTAACTTCCTCCTCTGCTGTGAGGCCTGGCTTTACAGTGTGGCACCGCCAACCCACAGAGACACACACACACACACACACACACACCTAAAAACACTGCATGTGGCCTGGATGTCAAATGTGCTCCTGACAAGTAGATATTTGATTGCATAACAGAGCTCCAACTTGTGTGTGGCGGCTCGTATGCAGGCCTGCAGTGTACACTCGGTTACCTTTTGAAATGGGTCACGTTGTGCACGCTTTGCTGTGACATCAGCAAAGAGGCCAGTGTATATTCTTACAGATAAACAGACAGGTAGACAGACAGGTGGACAGACAGTCATGAGATGTGCAAAGACCAGAGATCATGAAGATGGAGGCTAATATACGAGCTTCCTGTTTGCAATGGAACAAAGTGGCTTCAAGCTCAATGTGTGTGTGCACACAAGTGTTTGTGTGTAAAGTGTAAAATGCAGTTGTGTCCACAGAGCAGCTCTGACCTGTCTGTCTGTCTGATTTATCGCCATTCAGGCTGCAGCACGGTGCTGTACATTCCATAATTTATGTGTAAGAGATGCTCGCCGATTTAGTATGCTTGAGTATGCACAGACACACGCATGTGCACACACACACTTATACATAAAATGTATAGGCTTGAATGGACATCAACACACACATATGCAAATGCACATGCGTGAATCCCCCTCACCAAAATTCGCATAATTCTTCTCGTGCTGTCAGGTCATAAAATCTATCTGACCTGTGTTTTCACCGGAGCATTTTTAATTTGTGCGTGATTTCTAGATTTCAGAGGAAGAAGACCAAGAGCAGGTCCGCCTCTTTTGTCTTTCGTTATTTTTTCCTGAGCGAGAGGAAGTGTTAGGAAAGGTGAGACAGGTTTTCTGGAGGTTATATATATAGATAAAAAAAAAAACAGTTTGGAAAAGCCTCAGCTGCAGTCATAAAGCAACATTCTTACACTCAGTGCTCAAATTATTAGGGACATCCTGATGAGTTGAGCTCCATTTTGCACACTCCCCAGCCGTCTCAGAGCTTAAAATCCTTCTCTAATTCGACTTCTGCTTTCCTTTGTTTTCGTCTTTTTTTGTGGGATTAGAACAGATTTAAAAAGAGAAATCAATGAGGGATTGCACTTTTGACCAGGAATCAACTATTCAATGTACTCCATGAATATTTAAAAACATTTAGCATGTTTATTGTCCTCTTCTGCATAAAATAAATCCGGCATCTCACATAATTCACATTCATTTCCTGCAACATTTAAATGAAACAACCCGTCCTGAGTGGGAACTCTTCACAAGAATGTGCTGCGGTTTCTCCCTCAGAGACACGTGTGAAAGATTAATCTGTGGAAATATATAAATATATATATATATATATATATATTATTATTTTTTGCTTGTGTTTTGGCGTTGCCACGCCGAGACAGTTTACACCCGAAGGTGCAGACGTGCCTTCTGCTTCTCATTCACTGCAAATAACCTCGGCTTTCCTCTGAGAGGCTGATTTAGTGTGAAGGGACGCAAACAGGACGACAGCTCTCATTGTAGCTGCAAACACACACACACACACACACACACACACACACACACACACACACACACACACACACACACACCAGGAGAGAGAGGGAGAGAGATGCGTGTAAATTGCAGTCGCCCACTTGAGATGCATGTTTCCCTTTGGCTTGTCAAATAGCCGTGCACCCTGCTGGGGCTAAGTCTTTGTTAGAGAGAGAGCCTGGTAACTTCTTTTATATGCAGTCAAGCATTCTGTAGATGAGGTGTTTTTAAAATGCCATAAATTAAAATGCAGTCTTCCAATGTGTCTTAAGTGTCACAGCTGATTGTAATGAATACAAAATGATATTCCTAATAGTCGAATCATTCATGGTTTGAAACAAATGTTCTGTATAGTTAAAGAGACTTCAGCAGTGACGACTTAAAGGGTCGCTTCACTCAAATTAACAAAATATATTTTCTTATTGTGGACAGTGTTCTGCGAAACACTGTCTCGGGAAAGACACATTGCTGTTCACCACAATAAGCGAGAAAATATGTTATTTCTAGATTTTGGAGAAAATATCCTTTCAGTGCCAGTTGTTGATATTTCTGGTTTTCGAGGAGAACACAAACATCTGTTCCTGTTGGAAATTGTATAAAGATGCAGCCTACATGTGTATGTGTGTGTGTGTGTATGTCTGCATGCATGTGTTCACAGTTACGAGGGTTTCCAGTTCCCAAAGAGCATGCCTAAACTCATTTTGTTGATCAGCACGCTGTACACACTCTCCCACCACTGATACTACTACAGTACACACACACACACACACACACACACACACACAGACCCTGCCACAGAGTGTTGGTTTGCTCAGCTGTGTGTCTGCCGTCGCTCGCCCTTCAACACCTCACGTCTCCCCCTTTCTCTTTCTGTAAGTCTCTCTCTCTCTCTCTCTCTCTCTCTCTCTCTCTCTTCCTGCTAGGGGGAGCTCTCAGGCTGTCAGTGCTGCACTCTGCCAGCGAGCAGGGCAGCAGACTGAGTGAGTGTGTGTGCGTGTGCGTGCGTGTGTGTTAATCAGATGACATCAGTGCTCACAGACCACATTCACCTCTTAACTGTCGACACCTGCACGCTCTGTGCTTCGCTGTCTGTGTCTCTGTCGCACTTTTTATTTACACCATGCACTGTAAATTCACGTCAGTGGCCGAATGACATCTGTAGCATTCAGTAAGAGTGTGTGAGTGTGTGTGTGTACACTCTGCAGTGTATTGATATTGTGAAGTAGCTGGATCAGCTAGAACTATTAGAACTCATTGAACTCCATTCATTTTAATTGAACCTACAACCTTTTTGTTTCCTTGCTGTGTTGCATGTTTTGCTTGATTTTTGTACTGCGTTATTTGGTTCCTAATCAAATCAATTTGGTTTGAAACCAAGTCTTTTTTCAATACTAAGTGCTTTGACAATACTGTCTGTGATAAAGAGCAATGAGAGCAAACTCTGTAAATAATCTCAAGATAAATTAATCTATTAATTTGTCAGTGGTTATTTATTAACTCAAATCATAGTCCTGATTAAAAAATAACTTAAAAATGCACTTATGCTAGATGCAATTAACCACTCATTTCCTACTAATCTGAAAGGATTTGTAGGTTTGTTATTTTGGGGATGAAGCACTAAAGCTATCAGGGTTGCTCTGCTGTTTCTGAGGAGCGCTTCATACCCATCACAGCACCTCCCAGGCTCTGCGCTCACTCACACATTCCTTCCTCTTGCCACTCCCTGCA